GCGTTTGTTTGCAGACAGTTTTTCCGGGTCATGTGGCCAGCATGACTAAGCCGCTTCTGGCGAAACCAGAGCAGCGCACGAAAACACCGTTTAGCTTCCCGCCGGAGTGGTACCTATTTATCTACTTGCACATCATACATACATCACAGAAAGAGGTGGTCCCCAGCAGACCGCCACGGGGGCAGTCTACCACAGAAATACATCACAGGGGCGAGGTCTACAACAGAAAACCTGTCTGTCAGGATACCTGATAATGATCGATCATTGGCAGCCTGGCCAATCTTTTGTGATTGTAAATACTTAGTTCCTGAATCCAGGTCATAGGCTCACCCTTAAGACAGGATTTGTGAGCAAAGAGACAATGGGGAGACTATTTGAGGTTGCTGGAAGAGTCAAAATGGCTTTAGGATTGTTCTCCTGTACTATTTCAGACACGTGGTTTATATACTTATGGGTGTGTTTGTCTTATACATTTATGAATGTTTATTATATATATACACGAGACCTTAGGATTCCTATACCAAACCTACTCCAGCTGTTTCCTAGTTCTTACAAATGACACCCATGATACAGTTGCAGAGTGCTGAGTTTGGAGGGGTTTCTGCATTTCATCTTTGGGCAGATTGACTATCCTGGTGAATATCTTACGAAGCCCCTTTAAGTCGGGGGGGGGGGACTTTCACTCCCTCCCTTCCACTGCTCTCAGCCTAGGTAGGCCATTTCCCTTGACTCCTAGATGAGAAGGCTTTCCAAGGGTGCAAAGCAAATAATTGCAAGGGGAATCAAAGAGAACATTTATCTTGCCTGCCTCCTGGACTGCTTTATGATACGATACAATAATCTTTATTGTCATTGTCCCATACAGAACAACGAAATTGAAAAAATCTACATCAGACATTCAAAAACCCACAAGCCTGCTATCCCAGCCTGGTCAGCCCCTAAAAACCCTTGATACCCCATAAGTGAATACAATATACAGTGGTACCTCAGGTTAAGTACTTAATTCGTTCCGGAGGTCCGTACTTAACCTGAAACTGTTCTTAACCTGAAGCACCACTTTAGCTAATGGGGCCTCCCGCTGCTGCCGCACCGCCAGAGCACGATTTCTGTTCTCATCCTGAAGCAAAGTTCTTAACCCGAGCTACTATTTTTGGGTTAGCGGAGTCTGTAACCTGAAGCATATGTAACCTGAAGTGTATGTAACCCGAGGTACCACTGTACTCACTTAAAGACTACCTTAAAGGTAAAGGTACCCCTGCCCGTACGGGCCAGTCTTGACAGACTCTAGGGTTGTGCGCCCATCTCACTCAAGAGGTCGGGGGCCAGCGCTGTCCGGAGACACTTCCGGGTCACGTGGCCAGCGTGACATCACTGCTCTGGCGAGCCAGAGCCGCACACGGAAACGCTGTTTACCTTCCCGCTAGTAAGCAGTCCCTATTTATCTACTTACACCTGGGAGTGCTTTCGAACTGCTAGGTTGGCAGGCGCTGGGACCGAACAACCGGAGCGCACCCCGCCGCGGGGATTCGAACCGCCGACTATGCGATCGGCAAGCCCTAGGCGCTGAGGCTTTTACCCACAGCGCCACCCGCGTCCCTAAAGACTACCTTACACTGCGTTTAAAACCAAAATCTCATTTGGATAGAAACTGTTTCTCAGGAGGCTAGTCCTAGTCTTTGTAACCCTGTACCTTCTTCCAGAGGACAGAAGCTGAGAGAGATCATTTTCCGGGTGCGCACTATCCTGCACTATCTCTACAGCTTTCTTATGGCACCTGGAAACATAAAAAAATTAAAAGAGGATTAGACAACTTCACGGAGGAGAGGACTATAGAGGACTGCCACTCTGCCTCCACAGCTGGAGACAGTAATGGTTCTGAGTATGCATTGCTGGAAACCACAGCAGGGGAGGGTTCTTTTTTGCTCAAATCCTGTTTGTGGATTTCCCACAGGGATCTGGCTGGCCACTGTGAAAACAGAATGCTGGACTAGATGGGCCATTGGTATGATCCAGCAGACTCTTATATTCTTGTGTCTCTCCCCAGATACCAGCGTAGTTTGATTTCTCTGTCACTACACACACACACACACACACACACACACACACACACACACCAAGAGTCAAGTTGATCTGGGCGCCTGAGGGGGAACTTTCCTTGGAGTCTGGCAGAAATGTACCCCAAACTCCAACATACAACTTTTATGAAGTTGATTCAGAATAAAAGGACCGGAGGACAAAGCTAAAAGCAGAATGGTGCTTCTAAAAGAAAGAAAATGTTTCAGTTCAAGCCTGTCCTATCGCAGCTGCTTACAAACATGCACCTGGTCTCCTCATGTGTAACACAGCAATGTTGATAGTCCAGCTGAGGGGCTTAGAGGGACAAAGGACTGTTTGGCAAGGGCCATATTTTAAGTTTCATGATTGACAGGTGGCTCTGTCAGGGAAAGTGCTTTTGACACCTCTTGGAAATCGGAAGATGGGCTATCTTCCTTTTTTTTTTTATAAAATATTTTTATTGCATTTTCAAGTACAGAAACAAATATATAAAGTTCACATATCACAGATAGAATAACCCAATAGAGAAAAAGAAAAAATTCCATTTTCAGAAATGTTTTTACGTAACCAATCGGACTTCCTCACAACTCCCGTACCATGCGTTCTTCACCCTTAAAAAGTCAGCAAATTATTACCTTTTTTCACATCTTAATTTGTACCTTTCAAATGTTTTAAATTTAACATACTCTTTGTCAATTACTTCACCCTTGGTAATGCTTCAAATTTCATCTACTTTTAACTTAATTTTCTGTTTCAGAAGTCTAATCGCTGAAGCTAAAACTTCCAAATCATGCAATTTTTTTAAGATTCATACAGCTTATAGTATTTTTGTAAATAGTCCTTAAATTTTTTCCAGTCCTCTTCCATCTCCTCTTCCCCCAAGTCTCGGATTCTGCCAGTCATTTCAGCCAGTTCCATGTAGTCCATCAGTTGCATCTGCCACTCCTCCAGTGTGGGTAAATCTTGTGTCTTCCAATGTTTAGCAATAAGTATTCTTGCTGCTGTAGTTGCATACATAAAAAATGTTCTGTCTTTCTTTAACACCTTCTGGCCGACAATGCCCAGCAGGAAGGCCTCTGGTTTCTTGGGAAAGGTATACCTAAATACCTTTTTTAACTCATTATATATCATTTCCCAGAAGGCCTTCACTTTTGGACAGGTCCACCAGAGGTGAAAGAATGTCCCTTCAGCCTCCTTACATTTCCAACATTTGTTGTCAGACAGATGATATACCGTATTTTTCGCTCTATAACACGCACCTGACCATAACACGCACATCGTTTTTAGAGGAGGAAAACAAGGAAAAAAATTCTGAATGAAACAGTGGATGTATCATTTTTGTGCTTCATGCTGTGGCCACAGACATGTGATCTGATGGTGAATTTGGGGTAGCTCAATGCAAAGATCCTGAGGATCCATGTGGATCCATGCTTTTTAACCACATTTTTGCACCATTGCAGCCCCAGGCAACAGTGGGTGTGTGATTTTTGGGGGGCAGGCTGCTATGTGATCTGATGGTGAATTTGGGGTGGCCCAATGCAAAGATCCTGAGGATCCATGTGGATCCATGCTTTTTAACCACATTTTTGCACCATTGCAGCCCCAGGCAACAGTGGGTGTGTGATTTTTGGGGGGCAGGCTGCTATGTGATCTGATGGTGAATTTGGGGTGGCCCAATGCAAAGATCCTGAGGATCCATGTGGATCCATGCTTTGTAACTACATTTTAAGTGGGGAGTGAAGGAAAAACGCAGAAGGGACAAGAGAGCGGTGTGCAGAGAAGCAGCTGGCTAAGAAAGCAGGAGAGAGATTTTACGGGAGGGAGGAAAGAAAGGCAAAAGTTTCCACAAACCGAAGCCAGCTTTCTCTCTCCTCCTGCATGTTTTCTGGCTGCCTGCAAGGAGCACGGAGAGGAATTAGAAGGAAAGACCTCTGCTTTCCCCTCTGCTTGCCTGGAGGGGAGGGGATTTGCCTGCTCTTTGTTCCGTTTGAGCAAACACAGCAACGAAACAGAGGAGGGTGGGCAGTAAGACCCTGAGGCAGAATGCAGGAAAGCAACCACTTCCTCTTTTCAGGTTTCCCTCTCCGACACAACACACGGTTGATTTTTGCTGATTTTTGTTCCTGCGCTCCCCTAATCGGCTCCAGGGACCCCCCCCCCCACATTCGCTCCATAACACGCACAGACATTTCCCCTTCCTTTTTAGGAGAAAAAATCTGCGTGTAATAGAGAGAAAAATACGGTATCTTAGCAAGTTTGACTGGGGTCATGTACCACCTATATATCATTTTCATAATGTTTTCTTTCAGGGCACTACATGCCGTGAATTTTATTCCAGTGGTCCATAACCTTTCCCAGTCTTCAAACATAATGTTATACCCAATATCCTGAGCCCATTTTATCATGGCTGATTTAACTGTCTCATCTTGAGTGTTCCATTTAAGCAACAAGTTGTACATTCTCGAAAGTACCTTAGTCTTAGGTTCTAACAGTTCCGTCTCCAATTTCGATTTTTCCACCTGGAATCCTAATTTTTTGTCCGACTTAAAAACCTCTTGAACTTGAGCATACAGAAACCAGTCCTGCACCCTATTTTTTAGTTTTTCAAAGCTCTGCAGCTTCCAATTATCTCCAATTTTTTCTATAATTTCCCAATATTTCGGCCGACCGGCCTCCATATTGGGTCTTTTTCGCGCCTTGGCTTCCACTGGTGATAGCCACCTGGAAGATGGGCTATCTTCCATCTCCCTGCCAGACAAAACCAATTATGTACTTTGTATATTCAAGGGGAGGTGTAACTTCTCTGTTTGTGGGAAATTGAGAATGGTATCTTAAAGTGACGGGTTGGCCTAAATGAGGCCTTTGTTTCAGCCCTTACCTTAAATAACACTGATTTTTATTCTCTCCTCTTCTAACCCATATTTCTGTGTTTCTTTCATTCCCAGTGCTGCTGTTGGCATTGGTTTCTATGGCAACAGTGAAACCAACGATGGGGTTTATCAACTGATCTACGCCCTAAATAATGCTAATCGCACTCTTTCGGAGATTGATTCGCTGGTAAGGAATCTGATGGGTTGAGCTGATATTATTATTCTTCCCCACCCCCACCCCCCTTTTCATCTAATGCAAGCACTCTGGTCCTGGTGAATTATCTGAAATGCCTGAGATTGAGAGCAGCTGTCTGAGAACAACAATGTCTCTTGCTAGGGAGAGCACAGAGGCTGGTGCAAACAAGCCAAACATTGTGTTAAAGCCTCCTTCATCTATCTCCGTTTTAATCCGGAGGAGAGCATGTGCTCTCTGCTGTCAGAATTCACAGCCTGGCCCTACTTTCTGCGTTTCCCAGAGGCGAAAATGGAGACAATTTCGTTTCAGAAATTGGGACAGAGATAGGAAGGGATGGGAAGCACAAAGCGGTTCTACTCCCCTCGGTCAGTGTTGGGTGCAACTCTCTGTAGTTGCAGATCGTAGCTTTTTCCTGATAGCCTTTGGAAACCCAGTGCCTAGGAAAGGCAGAGCTTGAGATCAGGGAAGATTGTTGGACCCCAGAATCACAGAAGACTGGAGAGTTCAGTGCTGAAAGAGCCCAGAGCCAGTGTGGTGTAGTGGTTAAGAGCGGTGGACTCGTAATCTGGGGAACTGGGTTCGCGTCTCCGCTCCTCCACATGCAGCTGCTGGGTGACCTTGGGACAGTCACACTTCTCTGAAGTCTCTCAGCCCCACTCACCTCACAGAGTGTTTGTTGTGGGGGAGGAAGGGAAAGGAGAATGTTAGCCGCTTTGAGACTCCTTCGGGTAGTAATAAAGCGGGATATCAAATCCAAACTCTTTCTCTTTCTTTCTTACTGAAAGCACCAACAGGGTTGGTGGGTGGGGGCTATAGTTCAAGCTGCTGGTGGTAGTAAATTAGAGTATTAAAGCCTGGTGCCTCCTTTGCAAAGCCCAGGAAGCTTCTGTCCTGCTTAGGCGGGCAGGCGTGATGCTCACAAGCATGGCGTCCCTCTCCCCTCCCAGTCGCCCTCGCAAGCTGGCCCCTCTGGCCCTAACTGTTCCCCTGCTAAAAATGTTGCTGCACGCCTCTGATTCTGGTGCTGTTGAGAACACCATTCTAGAGCAATTCAGATGGCACCGTGCCCAGGGAGAACCAGTAGCGTATCACCTGGGAGTCTGTTGGCTCCATGCTTCTCATGACTTCTTCAGGAATTCCTGGCAGAAAGCCACAGCTGAAAAAAGGCAGCGGCAGTGCTTAAGACCTGAGATGGAAACTCCCAACTGCAAAACGACAACAACAAACTACTACCAAAAGGTGACCGGTTTGGAAATGCAACCTCTCTCTCCATCTAGGGGACTAATTGTTAGAGGGGGATTTCCAGCCGGTGGCAGAGGACAGAGTGACTCCAGGAGACATAGGTGTAAAAACCCAAACTAAAACGAAGACTTTATTACTAAGCAAATGAACACAAACTCTGGTGGATGTTATTCCTGCAGGCAGGCAACAAAACTCAGCTTTTTTCCTTTATAGCAACGGTCACCTGCAGCCAATTAATCCCAGAAACTTCTTAAAGGTATACACACATGTTTCTGTGCCGAATGTCCTCTAACACCCCCTCTCATTCAAACAGAAACAATAGTATTTTAAACAGAACAGAACATATTTACATATCACACACAGCAACTCCCAACTTTGCTACCAGTCGTGCATGTTTTTCAAAAGTTAACGCTTTTGTAAATACATCCGCCACATTTTGTGTACTTTCACAATACTTCAGCATTATCTGGTTCTGTTTTACATTTTCAGCTACATTTTGATATTTAATTTCCAAATGCTTTGATTTGTTTCTAAACAGGTCAGATCCAGACAAAGTTATTACGGCTTGATTATCTTCCATAATTTGAACGGGATAATCACACTGTATGTTTATATCCTTGAGGATCTGAACATAAAATTTAACTTCATTACATAATTCCGACAATGCACAGTATTCGGCCTCTGTTGATGATGTGGCCACTATACTTTGTTTTTTGGATTTCCAACCTATCAAAGAATCCCCAAATTGAAATACCATTCCAGAAATTGATTTTTTATCAGGCAGGTTGGCCCAATCGCTGTCAACGTAACACTGCAATTTTGTGGAACCTGAAGATGGTAATCTTAAACAATAATCAAGTGTTTGCTTTAGATACCGGAAAATACGTTTTAAACCTTTCCAGGCATTTTCTGTAGGACAGCTTACTAGTCTGCTTAGTATTCCAACTGCATAACTCAAATCTGGTCTGCTCCACAATGAAATGTATAATAAACTTCCAATTATTGAATGGTACATTTCAGGATTTACAGGTTCTGTGCATTCTCCTTCATTTTTGAAAAAACCTATTTCCATTGGGGTTTTTACTCCCTTGCAGTTTTGCATATTGTTTCTTTCAAGTAACTCCATTATTTTGTCTTTTTGACTCAACAAAAAACTTCCATCGTTTGTTCTTTGAATTTCTAAACCGAGATAATTTTTTACTGGACCCAAATCTCTTACTTTAAATTCCTTTCTTAGTTCTGCAAATTTTTCCACTTGCTTGTCACTTTTTGTAGAGTAAAGCAAATCATCAACATAACACAAACACAATTCTTGTTTATCACCCTTTCCTTTAGTGTACAAGCAGTTATCAGCTAAGCTTCTTTTAAAGCCAAGATTTTTTAAAGCATTATCAAGACACTCGCTCCAATTTCTAGCTGACTGTTTGAGCCCATAAATTGCTTTGTTCAGCCTATATACAGAATTCTGTTCTCCTGCCTCAAAACCTGGCGCTTGATTCATAAAAATTTCTTCTTGCAGATTTGCCTTAAGATAAGCTGTTTCAATATCAAAATGGTTTACCTTAAACCCACGTTGTGCTGCAAGAGCTAGCAATAAGCGTACACTTTCACTCCTTGCAGTAGGAGAAAAGGTTTCATCAAAGCTTTCACCTTTTCTTTGAGTAAAGCCTTGTGCTACCAGCCTGGCTTTGTACTTAACATCACCATCTGCCAAATGTTTTATTTTATACACCCATCTACAGCCCACTGCCTTTTTTCCTTCTGGCAATGGCTCAATGGTAAAGACATTGTGTTCTGCTAAAGATTTCATTTCTGCTTTCATTGCATTTTTCCACCTTACTATTTCCTGGTGTGGTAACTTTAAAACTTCCTCATAATCACGAGGTTCCTTTTTCACATCAACAGTTTTAACTTCTTGTATAGTAAACCTTTCTGGAGGTACCCCCTTATTGCTTCTTTGTGACCTTCTAACTTGAACACTCTCCCCCTCTGAACTATCTTCCCCTTCTGATTCACCCTGCTCAGGAGAAATTGGTTCAGCTTTAGGAGATTGTGTACTGGGATCCTCATCCCCTGAATCCTCATCACTGTCACTTTCAGAACTTTCTTTAATTTGTGGCTTTTCTTCCTCAGATTTCACAAATTTATCTGTATCATCAGAAGATAACACAACTTCTGAATTTCCATGTAAACGAACCCAACCATCTTGCTCACAAAACTCTGCATGTCTTGATATTACAACTCTGCCACGCCCTAGTGCAAAACGATACCCCTTTGACCAAGTTTGATAGCCAACAAACCTAAGTTTCTTTGCCTTGGGCTCTCCTTTCCTTCTCTGTCCTTTTGGGATGTGAACCCAAGCCCAGCAACCAAAAGTTTTAACATGGTCCAAAAAGGGTTTTTTTCCATAAAGCAAAAAATGAGGGGTGTTGTTTATGGTAGAATGAAACAATCTGTTCTGTATGTAGTTAGCACACAGAATTCCTTCCCCCCAATACTTCCTGGATAGGCCAGAATCACATAGCATTGAATCTAGCATTGTTTGTAAAGATCTTATCTTGCGTTCTGCAACTGAATTTTCTTCAGGCGAAAAAGGACACGATTTACGGTGACTAATACCACGTTTTTTCAACCAAACTTGGAGGGCTTCAGACATGAACTCGCCTCCACGGTCACTTTGCAACTGGGTAACTTTGTAGGGAAACTGCCTTTCTATATAGTTGACCCAATTCTTAATCAGTTGACCAGTTTCATTTTGTGTTTTAACAAATATACCCAAGTATACCGGCTATAATCATCCACAAGAACCAAAAAAAACTTTGCTCCTCCTTCAGACTCTGCAAATGGCCCACAAAGGTCTGAATGTACTAAAGCAAATGGCCTCTTGCTAATTCTAGTACTTTCAGGATAAGACCCTCGCTTACTTTTAGACTCCTTGCAGGTATTGCAGTCTAGAAAAACTGGACATTTTTTCATTTTAATTCCCTTGCTTAATTCTGGCATTTTTGCAATACTGCGGAAATTGGCATGCCCCAAACGACGGTGCCACAGATGCTGGCACTCATCATGCAAGGCTCTATTACAGGCTTTAACACATGCCCCAGACTCACTTACTAGCTGGTCTTTCAAAACAAACAAACCATTTTGTAGTGACGCTGTAACCACTTTTCCAGCTTTCTCTATTCTACAGCCTGAACCAGAAAAGGTTACTTTAAATCCCTGCTTAACAAGACTTGTAACTGAAAGCAAATTATTTTCTAAACTTGGTACACATAAAACATTGGTAAACTTGGTACTTAAACAGTTGATATTCACACTACCCTTTCCAGCTGACTCATGCACTGTTCCATCAGCTAGTACTACATTTACAGATTTACAAGGCTGCTTTTCTACAAGGGTTTGTGCAGACTTAACAAAAATGTTTGTCGCTGCTGAGTCTAAAATCCAGTCTTGTCCATCGTCGTGACTGGTGCCTCGAACTGCTGCAGAAACATACTGGACTCGACTCTTCCTGTCTCCTCGCTTCCCAGCAAACGCAGGCCGCCCTTGTCTTGTATTTTCTCCCACAGACACAGTGCACTGTCGTACTAAATGCTTGGTTGACCCACAACGATAGCATCTTCTAACTGTGAACGCTGCTTCCTCTCTGTGGTCTACAACCTCTTTAGATTGCCGCTCCTCATCAGTTGCATATCTTTTACTGGACTGCCTCCCATTTCTGGAGTTACAGTGAGGGGTTGTGGCCTTCCTCTCATGGCGTCTTTCCTCCTCATCAAGCAAACGGCCAGTTAAGAAATGCATTGTTAATTGGCTTTCTGGGATTGCTTCCAGAGTCATTACTAAATTGTCCCATGACTCAGGAAGTGAAGACAGCACAATATAAACTTTTCTCTGTTCAGAAAAATGTTCCCCAAGTTCATTTAACTGTGAAAATAAATCACGCATTCTTTGAAGGTGTGTTGAAACACATTCACCCTCACTTAGTCTGGCTCGGTACAGAGCTCTCATTAGAGTAATTTTGCTGCCAGCAGTGTCTCTAATATGTATCGCTCTCAGTGCTTGCCAAATCTCACTTGCTGTTTCAAGGTCTCGCACATGAGATAACTGAGACTTCTCTAAACTCAAAATTAAATTGGCATAGGCTTTGTCCTCCAGCCTTTGGTCTGCTTCATCTACTTCTTCATCCTCCTCTTTTACAGGAGGATTAACAATAACAGTCCAACATTGTTCTTTCTTTAAAAACGCCTGCATCTGTAAACTCCATGACATATAATTGGACTCTCCCAGTTTCTCTACTGGAAAATAGGAAGCTCCCCCTTGAGCTCCAGCTCCAAGTCCAGCCATGGCGCCACCCAGCTTTCAGCTTTCCACTCAGTTCTTACTCACACGTGGCTTGAAGAAATGTTCGGCTCCTGGTCCCAAACAGACACTCCCTGCCGATGCCTTCACACAGCCAGCTGCTTGAGAAACGCTGAGTTGCTTCCAGTCTCTGGGTTCTTTTCACGCTCTGTCTCTGCCCACTCAGGACTGGGGGACTGGGCCCATAACCTGTTAGAGGGGATTTCCAGCCGGTGGCAGAGGACAGAGTGACTCCAGGAGACATAGGTGTAAAAACCCAAACTAAACGAAGACTTTATTACTAAGCAAATGAACACAAACTCTGGTGGATGTTATTCCTGCAGGCAGGCAACAAAACTCAGCTTTTTTCCTTTATAGCAACGGTCACCTGCAGCCAATTAATCCCAGAAACTTCTTAAAGGTATACACACATGTTTCTGTGCCGAATGTCCTCTAACACTAATGGTACTCCTAGCATCTTGGTTTAATTTGTGTTTCTCCTGGGTTTACTTCACATATACACGCACTGGGTTTTCTGTTTCTGAGTGGTGGTGGTGGTGGTAATCCAAAAAGCCTAGCGATATTTAAGTACTAGGCAGTGAACACAATGTATTCAAATGATGCCCTCAGTTTCAATGTATATCCATGCCCTGTAGTTGGCTTGCTTTCACTGGTTCTTGGAGCACCTGATCGTTTTAGCGTGCCAAGCTCCTGTTTATTCCTAATAATAATACCAATATGTACCAACCTTTCACCCTAATGACTCCAGGTGGGTTACTCACTTTTAAAATCTACTATGAAAATGTCAATTATGGATTTTCTGACTTCGCAGGATATTTTGAAGGGAGGAGGCTCTGCTGTGTAGAGCTTTGTCTTTGCTTTCTTGCTTCATTGACTTCCGTGTGGCCAGAAGGAGGCCTATAGATAGATTCCATAGCAGCTTTTGTATTGGAAAAGAGTTCCTTTTTGTGGGTGCCAGTGCAACACCAGTAAACAGGGAGGTTATTTGGAGCAGACTCTAGCCATCTTCGTTGCTCACATAATGGAGGCCATTCAAGTGGTTAAGCTGGGATATAAACTGGGATAGCTCAGTCGCTGGAGCATAATCTCAGGGTTCCCACATTGGGTAAAAGATTCCTGCATTCCAGGGGTTGGAGTAGATCAGGGGTAGGCAACCTAAGGCCCATGGGCCACAAGCGGACCACGGGGGTTGTTTAACCAGCCCACAAGCCGCCCCCTAACTGAGCCGCCCTCTCTGCAAGTCCCCACACATTGCGCTAAACCGGCGCAGTGCAACGTAGGGACTCGCTTCCGTGGTGCCTGAAATTGGGTCTGCGCATGCTCAGACGCTGAAAATGCGTTAGCACAGATGCAGACACCGGAAATCGCATCTGCACAGACGCAGACACCAGAAATTGCATCCGTGCACACACACACACACACACACACGATCCAGCCCATGGAGGGATCTCCACTGGAGTGAACCAGCCCAGGTGAAATAAACCTTGCCAACCCCTGGACTAGATGACCCTCATGGTCGCTGCCAACTCTACAGTTCCATTATTAGGGTAGCGTTTTTTTGGCCTGATCTTCTAATGCATGCATACGTAATTGTCACCAATCTGCTTTTGGGATTTGGGCTATAGAAACTGAGGTGGTGGTGATTATTCTGGTTTCAGTGGATCTTTTCCTTGAGTGTATTTGAAGAGATTTGGTCAAAGTCGTGTTTGTGCACGTGATGGAAGCCGAAGGAAACTCTTTGACTTTGAGCTGTTCTTGGCCGTCCCTTCTACCCATAGAAAATATGACTGGTTCAGAAAGAAACCAGCTTGCTGGTTCTGAATGGTCTGTCTGCTGTCTTTTCCCAGGTCTCAAACACCTCTGTGCAGATGAAGGTGGCTCTGGAGCAGCACCTGGCGCGGCTGAACGAGATCTTTGCCACCCGAGGCGACTATGTGCAGACGCTTAAGTTCCTGCAGCAGATGGCTGGCAATATTGTGCTGCAGCTCTCGGGGCTCCCTGTCTGGAACGATGTCACTGTAGACCTGTCTCAAGTTGCTGGTGAAGTTGGTTACGTGGAATATTACAGGTAAGTTGAGAGGGGATATTGCGGAGGGCGGGGTACATGGCCCATTGGGAGACTTCATGGAGTTTGCTATGCAGCCTTGCATTTCCTGTCAAAAGCAGAGCATCTCAAAGACAAAGGTAAAGGTACCCCTGACCGTTAGGTCCAGTCGCGGACGACTCTGGGGTTGCAGCGCTCATCTTGCTCTTTAGGCCGAGGGAACCGGCGTTTGTCTGCAGACAGCTTCTGGGTCATGTGGCCAGCATGACTAAGCCCCTTCTGGTGAAACCTTCTGGTGAAACCAGAGCAGACGGAAACGCCGTTTACCTTCCCGCCGGAGCGGTACCTATTTATCTACTTGCAGGAGCTGGGACCGAACAACAGGAGCTCACCCCGTCATGGGGATTCGAACTGCCAACCTTCTGATCGCCAAGCCCTAGGCTCAGTGGTTTAGACCACAGCACCACCTGCTTCCTGTAAGACAATGGAGGGGTGTTTAATCTTAGACTTATGGAAACTGTTACATCATCACGGAGTCAGGAGGTTGGGAATCCCCTTGTTCATCTCTCTCCTCCGCTTTGGAATCCCTCCCCTAGGATGGGGTGGGGCCTTCCAAAAATTGTTGGACTCCAATTCCCAGCAGCCTCAGACAACGTGGCTGGTGGCCATGGTAAGAGTTGCAATCCAATCATATTTGTAGGTTCCCTGTTCTTGGTGGTGCCTTGTAGGAAAGTGGTTGGGAAGATAACAGGAGGAACCATGGGCAAGAGAAAGGGGCTGCAAACCACTCAGCCATTCTGTAATAGCAGGGGGCATGGGGCAGTAAATAAGGCCACTTTTTTGGGATCACTCACTTTGCACCATGAGGAGGTGATTTGCTCAAAGCGCTATAACGTTTTCATCACATCAGTGCATCGTAGCAACAGTCTTAATCCACACTGGTAATGCTGAATACAGAATTGAAAGACTGTGATTATTTCAGCAGCAGAAGTCAGTCTCACAATAGGGAAAGAGCTGCAACTCTAGCTTTCCAGCTGCAGGGTCATGGCTGAGGTCAGCATGGTGTGGGCACACGGGCAGAGTCAATCCAGCAACTGCCACTGATGCAATCTCCCTGCCACCTCACCTCTCATTCTCCCACTGAGTGTCAGCAGCGCCTCCGCTGTTGGGAAGCTAGCATTACATATCCACTCCCACCAGGTAAGCCACTTCTGTACAGCCGTAAAAGGGGGAGGAAGAGTCGTGAGTTACTGTCCCCATCCTTCAATGGTCCTTTTGGGCTGAATAAATGGAAGCAGGATTGTGTCTGAATGGGATGCTCACATGTTAGTCGAGGGATGAGGATGATGGCTTAACTCGAGGACATCTTTCCTGTTGTGGGAACCCTCAGGGCATTTGTTAAGGCAACGAGGGCACCAGGAGAATAGCTGTGGCGTTGAGCAACTGTGGGTCTTGTGAGCGCACTGTCCTAACCTTGTTCTCAGTCAAACTCTGCCGCCGCCCCCTCCTCTCACTGCCTCCAGGGTTTTGCCAAAGCAAATATGTTTTGAGTTATGTATCCTTCTCAGCGCTTAGCGGCACCCTTTAAATGGAAGGTGTTTCTTCTTAAGAGGCAAACCTAGCAGCCCGTCATGATGCAGGCATTTGTGACATTTCTGCTCAGGAGGAAACGTTAGCATTGCATAAAGGCAGATTGCACCTCTTTGCATGGGCTCCGGGTAAAGGAGTCTGTGGCGCTTGGGGAAAATAAGCTCCACTTTTGGGGGGGGGGATTCTACTGTACTCAGATGTAAGGGTAAGTTGTGTAAGTATGATTCGAAGGTAGAAACTGAGTATGCCTCTACAGTTGAGGGAGAAGGCAGGCATCAGAAAGATCTCTGGATTCAAAAATGCTCATGCGGCTGTTGCACAAGTTTGAATGTCTCTGTGCACTTGGGGTTTGGGTAGAGCTTGAATGCCTGGATAACTCAGTTGGTTGGAGCATGGTGCTGATAATGGCAGGGTTGCAGGTTTGATCCCTGTATAAAGGTAAAGGGACCACTGACCATTAGGTCCAGTTGTGACCAACTCTGGGGTTGCAGCGCTCATCCTGCTTTATTGGCCGAGGGAGCCGGCGTACAGCTTCCAGGTCATGTGGCCAGCATGGAAACGCCATTTACCTTCCCGCCGGAGCGCTACCTATTTATCTACTTGCACTTTGAAGTGCTTTCGAACTGCTAGGTTGGCAGGAGCAGGGACTGAGCAACGGGAGCTCACCCTGGCGCGGGGATTCGAACCGCCAACCTTCTGATCTGCAAGTCCTAGGCTCTGTGGTTTAACCCACAGCGCCACCCACGTCCCAATCCCTGTATAGGACAACTGCATATTCCTGCATTGCAGGGGGTTGGACCAAATGATCCTCGGGGTCCATTCCAGTTCTATGATTCTATGAATTGTTAGTGAGGGGAAGAGTCTGTTGAATGAGTGGTCTTCTGAGCCGGTCATGTGGTGCAGCAGCAGGTTGTGGCCGCCAAATCCAAGGTCTTTGATTCGGGCTTGAATGACTGGCAGTTGTGCAGCTTTGTTTATCTGAAAGGCCATCAGAATGTCTAGAGTGATGCTTGCTTAGTAAAAGACTGACGTAGCTAAAAGGGCTTGCTAATTAAAAGAGGCATGGCTTAATGTGAAGGGGAAATACGAGCAGGCTTTTTAAGCTTCCTGTAAACTACATTTGTATAAAAGGTTTACTAGATGGCTGGGCTGTTGGTAGATACGTCTAGACTGCTTTCTCTTCCGGGGATCTGTTTAGGCAGTCCTGATGTTAGCCCAGGTCCTTAGGGGAGCTTTAGTCTGCCCTGAGGTGCGCTACTACAGTGCTGCGCAGGTATCGGCAGAGAGCTGGCATGGGTTTGTGCAGTCCACATGAACAGTTTTCCATTCTCACGGGTCAGTTGTCCGCATGCCATTCGGCTAGGAGTTCATCCAAGTGCACAGCAACCTTAAATATTGAACAAAATACTGTGGGAACCTTGTTGCCGCTTCTGTCGTTTGGCAATTGCAAACTGTTATGCTTATCGACGTGGTTGCTCGAGAGCAAACAGGCAAGATCTCCACTGGTCTTTTCAAAGGCTTGATTATTGGTGCAAAAGCCATTTACAGTGCAGAACGCCTTGTCTTGGTCAGTCACTAGCAGAATTTGAGAGTGGGCGGTCCTTAAACTTTCCCCAGCAGAGTAGTCTCTTAACCCCCATCCATAGGCGCCGACTCCATGGGGCTTGAGGGGGCCCGAGCCCCCTCAAAAATTCATTTGGGGGGGCTCCGCCCCCCAATAATCTCCGGCACCCCTCCAGCAGAGCGCCATCGCCGCCCCTCCCCCAGCCCAAAATGCACAGGGAGGGGCGGGCTGCATGCCTCCTGCCCTCCCTCCCGAGCAAAAGCTCCACCCAATTTCCTTTGGAGCTGATTAATAGGCGCAGCACGCTCTCCCCTATTCGCTCACGAGGAGGCGGCGCCACTTTATTTGCATATTCATGAGCTTATTTATTATTCATGAGCTTTCCCGGGCCCCCCCCCAATATTTTTTATAAGTCCGCGTCCCTGCCCCCATCCGACGCCTCCCCTCTCTGCGCGAAAACCTACTGCGCAGGGAGGGCTTGGGTAAAGAGGGACCTGCTCCCCCCCACACACTTTGCTCATGCACCGTGTCTTGGCTCTTTCTTGCATCCTCCGAGCCCTGCATCTCTTCCCCACTAGAGGTGGGGCTTCCCTCCTCTGCTGAGGAAGTCCTGCTTCCTGCGATCTTTGGAGGCTCCCTGTAATCCAGCTGCCCTTCCCCCTCTCGCCTCTGAGCTGATGGCAGTTCCCTGACACAAACCTTCCTATTTTGTATGTTTAAAAGAAGAAGACAAATGTGCAGAGTATTCATGAACTGGGGAAAGCTCTCTTGCCTTAATAAACGCTGAAAGCAACCTTCCTAAGGAGAATGTCCTTTCAAGAGCTCAGAAGTGGCAAGGCTGTCTTGACCATGTGTGCTATTTCCGCCTGCATAAAGGCTGATAAATGCAAGTACCATACATGTCACACGTGGCGGCAGAGGGAAGCGGTCACTTGGTAGTTCTGCAATGCTGGCAGATGACTTTCCAAACACAGGACGCTGCTTTTTACCAGGTCAGAGTGTTTGTCTGTCTAGCACAGGGGTAGGCAAACTAAGGCCCGGGGGCCAGATGTGGCCCAATTACCTTCTCAATCCGGCCCGCGGAGGGTCTAGCACAGGGGTAGGCAAACTAAGGCCCGGGGGCCAGATGTGGCCCAATTACCTTCTCAATCCGGCCCGCGGAGGGTCTGGGAATCAGATTGTTTTTACATGAGTAGAATGTGCCCTTTTATTTAAAATGCATCTCTAGGTTATTTGTGGGGCATAGGAATTCGTTCATTTTTCCCCCTCCAAAATATAGTCCGGCCCCCCACATGGTCTGAGGGATGGTGGACCGGCCCACAGCTGAAAAAGGTTGCTGACCCCTGGTCTAGCACACCCTTGTCTGCTGGCAGCAGCTCTCTTATGGCAGGGGTAAAGAATTTCAGGACTCCTGCCCAGGTCACACATACCCTGCAATTATCTCCATCACATCTTCCTTGGGAGTTTTTGCCTGGCTGGAAAATGTCCTTGAACCCCCATAATATTTTTTTGCTTGCCTGGATGGAAGAGAGCGGGCTCCTCCAAATAACTCCTTTATTCAGCGTTCGCTCTCAGTTTGTTTATGGGGAGAGCTATATGACGATGAACGTTCATTCTGGTTTGCTTGCAGAGTGCTTGCGCTTCTCTTCCCGTTTAATCATTTGTTTCCCCCCACATTTCTCACTGTATCGCCCCGTCACTTTGCAAACCACAAACTCTGTTGCCTTTTTTAAAAAATATAAAGTAGATTTGATGTGCTAGGGTGACAGTTCTCCAGTCCAATTTATCTGTGCAAACCTTACGTTCCAGTATGCGCTTGAATGACTCGCACAAATTGGTAGCAGTCTCTTAAGCACCCAGGAGGATGAATGAATGTGCGTAGAAATTAGCCCACTGCACAGAGGTAACATTTGTATTAATTGCCCTCCTCACCTTTGCCTCCAGCCCCTCCCACCACTGGCATGTGGCTGCCCAGAAGGATAGCTCAGTTCGCTAGAGCATGGTGCTGATAACGCCAAGGTTGCAGGTTCGATCCCCTTATGGGGCAGTTGCTTATTCCTGCATTGTGTGGGCTTGAACCAGATGATCCTCAGGGTCTCTTCCAACTCTACAGTTCCATGACGTTCAATCCTCTAGCTGGAAGAGGTTCCCCACCACCAGCCTACTGCATACTTTAGGGTCTCAGTTCTTCCTCATCACCTGCTCCTCTGATCCTTTTAATGGGCAACACCAGTGTTCGAACCTGATTCCATTTGCATGTAAAAAATGTGCTTCCCCACTTAGTCAAGGCCTCTCCCCTGCTAACTTCCCATCCTGTGTTGTCCTAAGGCTCTTATAATCAAACCGACTGTGCGGCGGAAATTCTAAACACCTGCTTTATTGTGTGGCCAGCTTTTAATGTACATTGAATTCAGCACAGAAGTTCTATGTTTTTGGTGACTTAACCCCTCCGGTTTATAGTTTGCGCCTTCTTATTGTAAGCTACCTTCTGGAGGCAGCAAGTGTTAAACAGCATGGCAGCAGAGGCCACAAATGAGGCTGGAGCTCCCCGCCAACGGTTCCCGCTTTCCAAATTTAGCATCCGCCTTGAGAGCTGTGACAGTGGACCCCAAGCTACTAGCTTGTGCCTAGCTCCTGACCAGAGCAGAGGAATTTTAATTGGGTCTCTCCTGACTCCAGGCAGTGATTAAAACAGAGGAAGAACCCACTGATCTTGCTCCTCCTTCTCTCCTCTGTAGTGTTAATGAGGCAAAAAGCCACTGGCTGTGAATAAAGACAGAGCAGAGCGGCATACGCAGGGTAGGAGAGATCAAAAGCCCATCTTTTGCCAGCGAGAAGAGAACTTATTTGTTTGCCCTGGAAGGCTGGGGAGAGAAGCTGCTGCATGGCACTGCTGCATGCACACACATACACGTACAGCACTGTACAAGCTGCAGTGTGTTGCAGTGGCATCCCTCCCTTCAGAGGGATCGCCACTCGCACCTGCGCAGACACTCAAAATGACGTCATGCGCGGAAGCAGCAAAAACAACCCGTGCAGACCCGCTCTCGCGTCTTACGCTCCATTCAGGATGCAAACGGGGCTCCAGAACGGATCCCGTTTGCATCCCGAGGTACCACTGTATATTCTTTGTGCGTATATACACAGTGGTACCTCGGCTTAAGAACTTAATTTGTTCTGGAGATCTGTTCTTAACCTGAAACTGTTCTTAACCTGAAGCACCACTTTAGCTAATGGGGCCTCCTGCTGCTGCCGTGCCGTCGGAGCATGATTTCTGTTCTCATCCTGAAGCAAAGTTCTTAACCCGAGGTACTATTTCTGGGTTAGCAGAGTCTGTAACCTGAAGTGTCTGTAACTCGAGGTACCACTGTACATATATTTAAACCTTCACCCTTGTGGGACATCTTTGGGAGAAGAAAGGGCTAAGGACCTACACAACCCTACACAAATCCAGCGTGGAGTCCTTAAGACAGTTTGATGGTGCCTTGTACGCCTCCTTCCGTCAACTCCTGCAGCCAAGCTGGTGCCAAATGTATTGCTCTGATTTCCTTTGAACCACATCAACAAGGCTGAGAAGGGGGTCGTGTCTGGGCAGCCCAGGACCTCCATATACACTTGCCCAGGCTTCCACCCTGGAGAGGTCCCTACGCAGTTTGACTTCATCCCTGGAGGCGCTCTCTCTCTCTCTCGAGACAGACGGACAGAAAGATGCCAACAACATTTTTTTAAAAAAGAGAACTCCCTGCCAGAGAATAGTGAATTCTGCAACCCGAATAAATTATTCAAACGAAGCAAATCTGCATCCTTCCACTTTCCTTTTCGGAGAAGGGCAAAGAACCGTTCAAGGTGCTGAAGCCTCTTGCCCCTTGAGTGCTCAGCACACCCTGCCCCACTCAATAGCTTCTGAGATTTCCCCATGCTTTTCCCAATGCACACACAAGCACATCTTCACAACCGTGTGGGCTGGAAATTGCAACGATTCTCAGAACCGCCGAGGGGGCTGGGAACTGAAGCTGGAATATCACGGACAGCAACTCAGAAATGGCTTTGTCAGAAGACTAGAGTTTTTCAGGCCCTGATTCTGGTTGTCCTAGAAGCATTTGTCTGGTCTCCAGGGATGTTTGCTAGATCCAGGGCATGGGGCCGTGATGCAAATGATGATGATGATGATGATAATAATAGTAATGGTAATAGTAATTTATTTATACCCCGCCAATCTGGCTGAGTTTCCCCAGCCACTCTGGGTGGCTCCCAATTGAGTGTTAAAAACAATACAGCATTAAATATTTAAAACTTCCCTGCCTTCAGATGTCTTTTAAAAATAGGATAGCTGCTTATTTCCTTGACATATGATGGGAGGGCGTTCCACAGGGCGGGTGCCACTACCGAGAAGGCCCTGTGCCTGGTTCCCTGTAACCTCACTTCTTGCAATGAGGGAACCGCCAGAAGGCCCTCGGAGCTGGATCTCAGGTAAAAAGCTGCATATGAGATGCTAATTTTTATATGTAGTTGCAGATTTCATTTACCTCTTGAAAAGAAAACCACCTTGTAAGCAAAGGGTTAAAAAAGAAACTTTAAAAAGGGAGAAAGGGCAGGAGATCCAACCTGTCCTTGTCGATCCCTGTAAGGAAATATGCTGCACTTGGCCCTGAGGCTGATAGAGTGAAGCTGCTGTCAAAATCTCTCAGTCCTAGACTTCTTCTGCAGGGAAGCTGTCTTGGCCCATCTTCTGACTTGGACACTGAAAAGCCCTGGCCTCAACAAGGAAATACGCTTTTCAAGTATGCGGAAAGGACAGTTGTCACCTCTCTTTTCAGTAATTTGCAGCACCGAGTTCACGCTTCAATTTCAGACGTAGCCATGACAGTGTTCCCTTCTGTGTTTTGATGCCTACCCTCCCAGAGAGAGTGCGCACAGCCCAAAGTCAAAGTCCTGCTTCTCTGTGCGGAGAACATGGTTCTTCATAACGATGCCAATAAAAATCAAAGAAGCCGTTGCACAACTGCATTATTTTAAGTCCCTCACCCCCTACTGCCACAATAACGAGGAATAGGGCCATATAGCGTCCATAAATATATTTGTCGGGGAGTGGGGGGAGGGGAACTACACAGAAAATTTAGGAAAGCCTATGCCATGAAATTTCACATTCGCTGTGTTGGCATCCCACAAAAATATAACTGTCCCCCAAGAAAACAGTGACGCAGCTGCCTGTGATTTCTCCTGCAAAATGTTGAGTAATACGTGAAAGGAGGAAAGGGGTTGGGAGAGAGGGATTGGGCTGTTGCTCACGTCCATTCGATGCCACAACCGGTCTTACCGGATGTCAAAAGAGTTTGGCCAGGGGTGGCTTGGTGCAAGCTGGCTAGGCCTGATGGAAGTTGTATTCCAAAATATGTGGGAGAGTTTCCAGCTTAGAGAAGGTTGCTTCTGAGGTTCTGCAGTCCCTCAAGTTTAATATCTGTGGTCTTGCTAGCATTTCACCTTTTCCAGCCCGGATCATAACTGAATAGCTCAGCTCAGGTTAGAGCGTGGTGCTGATAACACCAAGGTTGCAGGTTCGATCCCCGTATGGGGCAGCTGCCTATTCCTTGGGGTTTGGACTCTATGATCCACGGGGTCCCTTCCAACTCTGCAATTCTGCGGTTCTATAACCAGCCTCCCTCTCTCCGCAGATGGCTCTCCTACCTCTTGCTCTTCATCCTGGACTTGGTGATCTGCCTTACTGCCTGCCTGGGCCTAGCAAAGCACTCCAAATGTCTGCTTATTGTGTGAGTACAGGACTCTTGCACTTGGGTTAGTTGACCGGAGCAGGCATTTTGTCGCTCTCACGCTTCCTTAATGCAATCTATAGTTTTCTTGTTTGTTAGGGTTCATATTTTGTCTCGGGTCATTTTTATTTCATTATGTATTGTATTGTTTCATGTTGGGGCCCTGCTCTGGGATTGATTTTACCGGAGAGCCGGGCTATAAATCACCGGAATGAATATATAAACCATCACATGGCCCGTTAAGTCTGCATAGTTGTCCCTGGGCTCATTTTGGGTGCTGCTTCCACAGTCCTTACCTGCTCTGCCTCCATTCTGCGTCTGTAAAATAGGTGCAGTCGCAACCTGCTTTACAGGTACATTGTAAGGCTGAGGGCAGCGAGGACCAGAAGCCACTCATCGCGCTAAGTGCTGTGTACATAAGTGGTGGTGGTGGAGTTCCTGTCTCGACACCTTCTCAGCGAGCTCCGCTTCTGTCCACTGACTGTTTTGCCTTTTGTCCACAGGATTCTGTGCTGTGGGCTTTTCACACTCATTCTCAGCTGGTCTTCCTTTGCGGCAGATGTGTCGGGAGCAGTGGTAAGCACAAAACCTGGGACGTAGCTTCCCACTTCTCTCCTCTCTTGTGTTATATCTAAGGTTGCTTTAAGAGCTGGAACGATATCTGTGTGCCTTGCGATGGCTTGTGTTTTGTTTTTGTGCTCCCTTCCCGATTCACCTAGTAGCTCTGGCTGGTGAAAGCCTGCCTAACCCAGCTTCCCAGCGTGTGAGCTGCTGAAGCCTTCTGATTTTTGGATGCATATACCGTATTTTTCGCTCTATAGGACGCACCCGACCATAGGACACACCTTGTTTTAGAGGGGGAGAACAGGGGGGGGGAATCTCCCCCTCTCTGCACAGCGCCCCTTCAGCGAAGCGGCAGGAAAAATGGAGCCCCTTCCATTTCTCCTCCCGCTTAGCTGAAGAGGCACTTACCCTTCAGCGAAAGCGGTTATCCTTGAAGCCTGGAGAGCGAAAGCAACCCAAAGCCTCCGGAGCGCGGTGGGAGCACTCCCACTCCACTTCGGAGGCTTTGCGTTGCTATCGCTGAAGCCAAGGAGCCTGAATTCGCTCCATAAGACGTACACACATTTCCCCTTAATTTTTGAAGGGGGAAATGTGCATGTTATAGAGCAAAAAATACGGTAAGCCAGGGCAAACATTTTGGTCCTCTCACTATGCCTACCGCAGTCCTTTTTGTAGTTTCGTTTCGTTTTGTTTCCTGAGGAACGACACCTCTTAACAGCAACAGCATCCTTTTATTTGTATCCTGCTTTCCCATACTTAAAAATGATGTTCGAGGCGGCTGACAGCATAAAAAGATTCACATCATTAAAAACATAAGAGTAGCCGTAAACAATAAACAAAACACATCGAAAAGTATGCTAACTACCAAATAGAAATTGCCATGTAAAACGTAAGATTTAAATATAAAGATACAAAGAATTCATACCCACAACAGCAACAAAAACCCCTAAACAAGACCCCAGCCCAAGAGTCTGTTCAGCAGCCTCAGTTTTTTGTAGCTGGAGTCAGTCAGGCCAGGTGGGAAAAGGCCTGCAAGTCAGGGAGCAGCTCTTCCAGGACTCACAGCCAAGATGCTCTTAGTTCCATTTTCATTTATCACAAACGTGTACTGGGATTCCCACTGCCAGCCTGATAGGGAGTACGAAGGGGGTCAGTTATTAAAGTGCAAAAAGTGATTTTGAGTAAGCTTCCCTAAGTTGTCCAACTGCTCAGATTCAGTCTGCATGATTCCGTTTTGATTTGGCACAGGGCAGTCAATGCTGTCAGACTCATGGGTTTGCCAGTCCCCTTTCAAAAGCTCTCATTATGAGAGGACTTGGGTAGGTAGGTAGGACTTGGGTTTAGCATATCTTCTGCTGGTGGTTCAGGGGAGGCTGGTACCCGGTTCCTTTTCTGTTATTTACAAAATGGTTTTTACTTTTAAATTTGTCTGTGTGTGTGTGTGTGTGTGTGTGTGTGTTACTGCTACTGCTGGCTCCCCCCCCCCTTTTTCTCCCCCGTGTTTCAGATTTGCTTTGTGAGTGCAATATGAACGAAAGGCAAGGTGGAAATGCCTTAAATTTAAAAAGTCAAAAATAGTTCCATTTTTCTCCAGCACTGGAGGCAGGAGGTGTTTTACAAGCCTCTTTGTTGATCTGCTCTTATTAACCACCCCGAAAGGTTGGTTTTGTGGCTGAGAGGCCACCAGAAGCACCTCACACTTGCGCGTGCACACACACACACCGCACACTCGCACATATGTATGAATGCTGTAGATAACAGGAGAGGAATTGGAAGGGTAATATAGAAATCAAATGTACCTTCATAGAAAGTGCTAAAGTCTTAAAAGCAGTTGCCTGTTCTATGGGATGGGTGGATAAAAAAATCAATGATTTAAAAAATAAAATTTTTAAAAAATTGGATTTTTTAAAATTTAAATTGGATTTTTAAAATAAAATGCTTTTGGAGGAAAAATCTTTCTAAAGATAGTTTTCTATTTAAGTTGCATTTTAGTCCAAAGGATATTCATCAGGAAATAAGGATTTAAGTTTTTCATGTGTGCTAAAACTCAGTCTAAGTTGTTTTTTTAAAAAAAAAAAAGTTTAACCACATCAGTTAACAAACATGTATACATATGCTGTAATGTTCTTGTTTTAGTTAAATAAATTGTTCAAATTGTTATTAGGGAAATTATTATTTATTTTTCTCCTTCCAATAAAAGTACAGCGGAAAAGTTGTCCAAATATAAACAGTTAACTTATTAAACCTGCACAATAATTTCATAATTATCTGTCTATGTGTTTCTAATAGTATAACCATATCAGAAATTTTTGATATAACTGTAAAAACTACTCTGAAAATTTATTATTCCGAAAGTGAAACCTTCACCTGGTTGTAAATATTAAGATTATACCAGCAAGAATGAGCCTTTTTGTAAAAATAAAAATGATTTAAAGCAAGTCTTACTGACTACTGATTTAAATCATGATTTTAATCAAATCCACCCCGTCTACAGGTGTGGTTTTTAGACACACATACCTGTAATGAAAATTACATTCTCTACACCAGGATGTACTGGTTGATGGCAGAATGTCCCTTGTTGGTCCTGGTCGATCGTGGGATCATGATTCCTCCCCACCCCCAAAAAAAGCAAAAAGGGAAAAAAGTTCAACTGTGATGAAGCTTTCCAAAAAAAAATTCTGCTCAATCCAATTGGTAGATCACTTCCAGTTTTTTTTATAGTGGGAGTAGATCGCAATCTCTTGGAAGTTGGACGTGCCTTCTCTACACTAACTGACAGCAGCCCTGCAGGGTTTCAGAGTCTTGGCCTTACCTGCAGATTCCAGGAACTGGATCATGTAGATCAGTGGTTCTCAACCTGTGGGTCTTCAGATGTTGTTGGACTACAACTCCCATCATACCTGAGCTCTGGCCTTGCTAGCTAGGAGTGATGGGAGTTGTAGTTCAACAACATCTGGGGACCCAAGAAAGGCTGATGTAGATGTTCTTCCACTGAGCTGCAACCCTTCCTCCCCACCCAACCACGTGTATGGCCTCCTCAAGTCATACTTCCAGCCATCACAGTGCCCCCCTTTATAAAACTCTGTCTCTCATAGGGTACCAGTGACTTCTGCATGGCTCCGGATAAGTTCATCATGAACATGACGCAAAGCGACCTCAGTGCAGGTGAGATTCCTATGCCGTTTGGGTGGCGTGGGCGATGCCTCGATTGGGACAGAAGTTGGGTAAAGCGCAACAAACATTGCCGTTTGTCTCGCCTGAACCTGTTTCTGCTCTCAGATAGGCATTGCTGTCCACAGGGTATCCTTGGGGTGTACAGCTGCAGACTCCGATCGAGGGAGGCCGCCATACCTGTCTGAACAAAGGGCATCCAAGGTCACACTTGTGCTTGTATTGGAACAGACTTTTGGCTTTTAAAATATTCATAATGATAAAAATAATTTATTATTTATACCCTGCCCAACTGGCTGGGTTTCCCCAGCCACTCTGGGCGGCTTCCAACAGAATATTAAAATACAATAACCTATTAAACATTAAAAGCTTCCCTAAACAGGGCTGCCTTCAGATGTCTTCTAAAAGTCTGGTAGTTGTTTTTTTCTTTGACATCTGGTGGGAGGACATTCCACAGGGCGGGTGCCACTACCAAGAAGGCCCTCTGCCTGGTTCCCTGTAACTTGGCTTCTCGCAGTGAGGGAACCGCCAGAAGGCCCTCGGCGCTGGACCTCAGTGTCCGGGCAGAACGATGGGGGTGGAGACGCTCCTTCAGATATACTGGACTGAGGCCGTTTAGGGTTTTAAAGGTCAGCACCAACACTTTGAATTGTGCTCGGAAACGTACTGGGAGCCAGTGTAGGTCTTTCAGACTGGTGTTGTGGTCTCGGCGGCTGCTCCCAGTCACCAGTCTAGCTTTTAAAATATTCAGCTTAGTTCAGGAAGGAAGCTCCAATCCCTGGACCTCCAGGGACATAGTAGCTTTATTTTCATAGCTGATAAAACATGCCAGGGCTGTCAAAACCTCCCCAGTTGCCTCTGGCCCACAATAAATGCAGAATCTGTCTCTTTGCAATCAGAAGTGGACATGAAACGAGAACCAAGGAGCATGTTGTGGCCTGTCAACACTTCTAAGACTCTCAATGCATCTGTCTCTCTCCTTGGTGGTTGGGATATTTTGAAACAAGTTCCTTTCATGTAAAATCCAAATAATAAATTACCCAGTTTGGGCAGTTTTGAATAAACCTGAGCTTTGATTGCAGTGTTTGGAAGTTTTGTTGGGATTTTGCTTAAATGTTTTGCATAAATTTGGAGTGATGAAATTTGGAGTGGTGGAATTTGGAGTGGTGGAATGATGGTCTGTTACGTAGTGGTACAAAAACGTTGTATAGGCCATTTATTGCTCTTGGACACTGTGTCAAAAGCTCTCTTGTGTTGTATTTGCTGAAGACTTGTTGTTTTTCAGAAATTGTGGGCACAACTTCACTCCAATCCCCCCGCCTTTTTAGGACAAAACTACACATGCAGGGAGGGACGCGGGTGGTGCTGTGGGTAAAAGCCTCAGCGCCTAGGGCTTGCCGATCGAAAGGTCGGCGGTTTGAATCCCCGTGGCGGGGTGCGCTCCCGTTGCTCGGTCCCAGCGCCTGCCAACCTAGCAGTTCGAAAGCACCCCCGGTGCAAGTAGATAAATAGGGACTGCTTACCAACGGGAAGGTAAACGGCGTTCCGTGTGCTGCGCTGGCTCGCCAGATGCAGCTTTGTCATGCTGGCCACGTGACCCGGAAGTGTCTCCGGACAGCGCTGGCCCCTGGCCTCTTAAGTGAGATGGGCGCACAACCCTAGAGTCTGTCAAGACTGGCCCATACGGGCAGGGGTACCTTTACCTTACACATGCAGGGGGGGGCATTTACATGGGAAAATCAGTGCAAGAAGCATTAACATCCCACCCCCACCCCTTTGCCAATTATGCTCTGCAAATGACACAGTCACACTAATGGGTAGACAGGCATTCAGGGAACTACATTGTCAGCATAATGTTCAGTATAACTGTTTTTTAACTGTTACACTTTTTAATTTGCTTCTTTTATTACATATTTTAATTAAGGGCGTTTTAATGCCCCAGTGGATTTGTTGCTGTGTATTTTAATTACGCATTGATTTTTATAGTTGTAAACTGCTTAGAAGCCATTTTGGCATATTAAGCAGTATACAAACTAATAAACAGTAAGAAATAATAGTCGCCCGTAATTAAAGCTGGAATTCTTACAGAATCATGCCTCCATAGCAAATTCTGTGCTGTGGGGCACCAGGAATATGCACATCCTGGCCTTGTTTTCCTTTGTATCCTGGGCTTGGCAGCTCTTTAGTCAGACCCAAGGCTTTCCTGCAGCACCTCCCTTCGAAACAGTATTATGCAGAGTCAGTGTTGTGAAAGGGAGACAATTCTTTATGATCTATCTGAGCAACAAGAGGGTTTGTTGCGTTCCAAGCAGGCAGATTCCCAGATAGGAGATGTGCTCAAGTTGGGTTGGGCTAATAGGGGTGCCACTCTCCCATTGACCTATGGACCCTCTTCTTTGCAGAGATTGTACGGTACTACCTGTATTGCAGCCAGAGTCTGACCAACCCCTTCCAGCAGGTAAGAAATGTGGGTACCCTGATGATAGGAACTCCCCGATAGTATATCTTCAGTCTGCCTGTAGTGGAAAGATCTAACAGGCTTGAATTACAGGAGGGTGGACTGTAGTTGAACATTGGAATGAAACTTCCTTGGCAGTAAGAGCAGTTTGGCAATGGAACCAGTTATCTAGAGGGGTAACCATGCTGATGGTTTCCATGCAGAGGCTGCTTGAGGACGCTCTTAACTCTAGATTTATTGCATTGAGCTAGATAGCCCACAGGGCTTCCTTCCAACTTTGCAAGAGATAGCTGCACCCTCATTCTATGAATGAACTTCCCATCGCATCGGAAGCTAAGTTTGCAGAGTGGGGAGTTAGATTTATGGGTGCCAGACCTCTCCAATAAAAGGAGTTTTCCTTGCCTGAACTTAGGAATTGCCTCACAAGTTCAATCCCTGTTGTGGAGCTTATCCCTAGGGCTTCCCTAAATCTGGTAATCTTCGTGAAGAGGAAAAGGAGAAGCCATAGAATGCTTCTAAGAGCCCATAGGTCAAACCACCCAGGCTTCGCAGTGGGTTGGGGGCCGGGAGAGAGAGGCTAAAGTTTTGCCATGTAAGGACAGGGGGCTGACTGGCTCCCAGGATTTGGAAGAGGCTGGTTGTGTCGACTTGTAAAGCGGTGAAGACTTAGAACTTGTGGCCCTTTGTGTGAAAGCTTGGCTCATGCATTTTGTACTACCTTCCCTCTTTGCAGGCCTTGACCATCTACCAGCGTTCTCTCACGACCATGCAGATCCAGATCCAAGGCCTCATGCAGTTTGCTCTCCCTCTTTTCCCTACAGCCGAGGTAAACAGCACAGTGCTGGGTTGTCTTAACGAATCAGGGCTGCGCTAAGCCATTTTGTGGAGCCTTCCATGTCAACGTATATTGCGTAGATCCGGGCTGAAGTAGATTTGTACTTTCTGTGTGCGAGATTAGTTCTTGGCAAGGACCGGGCTGGCAATGTGGGAAGGGGGGGGACCACAAATTTAACATGGAGGTTGTTAGGTTCTCTCCTGCAGAGGCTCGAGGGTATGGCAAGCGACAGAAAAGATGTTGAATGTAGGGCAAAAAGGTTGAGGCAAGAGACGAGTGGAGAGTGTATTAACTTACGGTCTGTGTGTGTGGTTTGGGAGCTGCACGGCCAGAGAAAAAACAATGCTGTCCAGGCTTGTAAAGACTGCAGAGAGAATAATTGGGTGCACTCTTCCCACCTTAGATCAAATCTATGCTGGCAGGTGCCATAAGAAAGCTGCAGAGATAGCGCAGGATAGTGCGCACCCCGGAAATGATCTCTTTCAGTTTCTCCCTTCTGGAAGAAGGTATAGGGTTATAAAGGCCAGGACTAGCCGCCTGAGAAACAGTTTCTACCCAAATGCAATTCTGGTTTTAAACGCAGTATAAGGAGTCTCTATAGTATATTGTATTTAAAAATGGGGTTTCAGAGTTTTTAGGAGTTTTTGAATGTCTTATGTAGATTTTTCAATTTCATTGTTCTGTATGGGACAATGACAATAAAGATATCGTATCGAGTGGCTCTGGGCAACAGCTGGAAGCCATTTTCAGAACACAGAGGAACTGCAGAGCAGCAAGAATCAGTCAAGCTAGGAGCAACCCGGTCACTGCTCAGCACCTCTTGAACAAGTCATAACCAGGGGAATACATTTAGGAACTAATGGTTGCAGTTTTGTTTCTGAACCAGGTAAACTTCCTAGTTGCCTTCCAGACCAGGGTTCCAGCCTGATGGTTTTTGACACAAGACACAAGCCCTGTTCAAGCATTTCCCCTCACACAAATAAGTTGCGTGAAAAGGAGAACGGGGGCTGTTCCTACCGGCCCCATTCACCCACCCACGGTCCATCTGTCATGGGTGTGTGTGCGTGTGTGTGTGTGTAGAAAGGAGCCTTGCACACAGTTAGAAGGGACCAGTTTGGGGCTCCCCCTTCCGGCCCTGCATTTTGGGAAGTTTATCCAGCTTCATAGGGCTGCTAGGCCATGTTGCAGCTTCACGGTACCCATGCTCCTTTTCCTGCCGCAAATATGTCTTCCTCCTCCTCCTCACCAACCCCCACCCCACCCCCTTGCTGCAGAGAGATCTGCTAGGCATACAGCAGCTACTGAACAAATCAGAGGGCAGCCTCCACCAGCTGACCGCCATGTTGGACTGCCGGGGCTTACACAAGGTGAGGCACGCTGGGAGGTGTGGAGGAGGCAGTGTTGTGTGGATTGGGGCCTGTTGGCACACAAGGAATTGAGATGTTTCCCCTCCCTTTCCCATCAAATTAAAGGACTACCTGGATGCCTTGATTGGGATCTGCTACGATGGGGTGGAAGGCTTGCTGTACCTCATTCTTTTCTCCCTCTTGGCTGCCGTGTCCTTCTCCACCGTCATCTGTGCCGTGCCGCGTGCCTGGAAGCATTTAGCCAGCAGGTAAAATGGAAGAGGGTCTGCCAGGAGCACACATGGGTACGCTGGAGACAGAATTGCTCGTTGCAGATGGTGATTTTAAATGGGGATGAATGCAGTGACAACAATGGGTGCTGTCGCTCTGTATGCCTTCTGCCTCTAAGCCAGGAACTGTATAACCAGGATCATGGGCTTTGTTCTCTCCCTCACCACAAGTTGGAGCTGTGCAGATTTGATGGTTCCTGTCAAAGAGCCTGCAGAGGCATCCCAGGTACCACCCGATGAAGCAGGAGTAGAGAACCTGTGGGGATTTCCAGATGTTGCTAGACTGCAACTCATGTCTTCTTGACCATTGGCCATTCTGAATGGGTCTGGTGTGAGTTCAGCAACATCTGAAGGTCCACAGGTGTCTACAACTCATGTCTTCTTGACCATTGGCCAGTTTGAATGGGTCTGGTGTCAGCCCAGCAACATCTGAAGGTCCACAGGTGTCTACAACTCATGTCTTCTTGACCATTGGCCAGTAGAGGTTGAGTTGGTGCCTCAGTCCGGTGTTAATTTATTCCCTTTTCCTTCTGACTAGGGACCGGGATTATGACGACATAGATGAAGAAGACCCCTTCAATCCGCAGGCCCGACGAATTGCTGCTCACAACCCCAGCCGGGGGCAGCTCCGTAGTTTCTGCAGCTACAGTAGCAGCCTGGGTAGCCAGACCAGCCTGCAGCCTCCAGCACAGACCATCTCCAACGCGCCAGTATCAGAGTACATGTGAGTACAAGATGCCTGGGGTACCAAAAGTCAGCACTGAGGCTCCTGTCTGGGTCTGTAGAATTCTCAAGGTCACTGCAGGGATCAGCTAACCTTTTTGGGTGGCTCAGTATGCTCAGGAGTGCCTTCCATCCTCTGCTCTCCATCCTTCGATACCATCTGTCCCTGCTGGGATTCATGCTGACTTTTCATATTTGCTTCCATCTTTCCCTCCCTATTTTGAGAACTGCTGTGTTTCTCCATCCCACCCTCTCGACAGCTGGCAACCCAGTAGCCCTTCTAGACTTGATCCCTTGGACAGATGTTCCCAACCGCCCAATGGGTGAGCCGTCTTTGGCTCACTTAAAGATACAGAGAAACAAAAGCCTTGCTTTTTGGAAGAAGTGTTTTTAAAGCGAAGCCTAAAGACACAGACCCTGAAATGCTAATGCAGTCGTACCTTGGATCATAAATGCCTTGGTACTTTGCGGCTCCCAAACGCCACAAACCCGGAATTGATTGTTCCGGTTTGCGAACGTTCTTTGGAACCCGAACGTCCAACGGGGCTTCCGCAGCTTCCGATTGGCTGCAGGAACTTCCTGCAGCCAATCAGAAGCTGCACTTTGGTTTCCAAATGTTTAGGAAAAGCATCCCCAAACTCGGCCCTCCAGATGTTTTGGGACTACAACTCCCATCATCCCTAGTTAACAGAACCAGTGGACAGGGATGATGGGAGTTGTAGTCCCAAAACATCTGGAGGGCCGAGTTTGGGGGTGCCTGGTTTAGGAAGTCAAATGGACTTCTGGAACGGATTCTGTTCAACTTCCAAGGTACGACTGTATCTAGAGAAGATTTGATTTAACACAGTTTCTTATCTTCTGTACTGTGTTAGCTTCTAAGTTTGCATCCTCTTTTACCATGATACGGTCTTTTTTCCCCACTTACTTTTATTTTTGGAAGTTAGTCATCCAGCAAGCGAGAAACATGTGGCTTCTCTGTTTCAAAACAGCTCGATTTGAGGTGAGGAGCCTTGCCCACTTAGCTCCTCCTTGCTTCTTCCGCCTGATTCATTTGTTTTCCTCAGTTTTCATTCCTGGTAGATTGGAAGGAGATGATGAAGGAATGACAATAAACGAGCTTCAGGTTCATACTTTGCAAAAGAAGGCACGCATGACTACTCCCAGCCTTTCCATGCACCTCTGGTAATGTTTAGTTAAAACAACATGTATCCTGGTACCATTTTTCTGTCCTCAGAGGGCAGTAGCCAGCGAAGTGTTGTTTGGGTGGAGGAACCCTGAGGACATCTTTAGCTAAACATTACAAAGAGGGAAGGCATCGGTTGGCAGTCATTTGGACCTCCAGTCAGCTGTTGAAGCTTTATTATTAGAGTTGTATACTGGCAATCTTTTCCCATCATTAGACAGATCTAACCCTGGATTGCCTTAACCTGAGTTGCTCTTGATTGATTGTTTTGAAGGAGGGGGAAAACAGTCCTGCTAGAATGGATATTTGAAAAGTCTTAGAAGAGCATCTGTTTTCCTAGATGGAAGAGTATGTGTTGCCTGCATTTTCCACCGTGTCTCAAAACACGCATTGCATCCAGTATTTATATATTTTATTCCTTTCTAAATAATGAATGATGTCACATGACTGAAGAAGCCTCCGTCGCTCTTTCTTACAGGAAAGGGAAGCAGGGAGATCAGCTGTTTGGCCACTTCCTTGGTCTTGGCACTCAAAAGTGCCTGAGCCAGGAGTGTTGCTACAGTGGGGAGCAAAGGCCCAGAATGATTTTGGGAGAGAATGAATTGGTAGGGTGATCTGGGTTTACTAGGTAGGATAATAATTTAAGTAACCTTAAATTATTTTGGGAGGCAATGAATGGGAGCAGTCGATGGGTAATTGAGCTGATAGGGAGCACGATCTGTTGCAAAGTTAATTGAGGGTAAATGAATTGAAGAGGAACTAATTTGGGGTGATCTGGGGTGGGGTGAAAATTAATTGGAAAGATTTGCCTGGAAGGGCAAATTTGCTTGCCTTCTGTGACATTTAATTCTACATTTGCATCTGTGCATATAAATTAGCTTACGCAAGTTTGTAGCTTTGGGCCTGTGCCCTGAATCTTTAAGTGCCCAGCAATGCCCCAAATGAGCCACAACTTTCCAGCCAACATTGGAGCCTGGCAGGGGAGGTCATTGTACAACCCCTGGAAAGACCCCCACACATTTTCATAGCTCCAAGGTTAGGAGGAAGGCTGAGGCTTGTCTCTGCTCACCGGATGACGGCAGCACGCTTGTCACGACGAGTACAGTGAGTGAAAATGTGGAGAGATCATTAAAGTCCAGTTGAAGTTGCAGGATTTGAATCTTTAATTTAAAATAAAGTACACGTTTCGGAACAACATTTTAAGTGTTTGCTAGTTTTGAAACAATTGTGCCAAAACGCTTCCTTGTTGCATGTGACCAGTGCTTCTTGAGGGGGGGGGGGAGAAAGAGATTTTTATTTCCTGCACGTGTGTCCCAAATAAGAACCCCAATAAGCAGTCCTTAGCCAGCTGTTCCACATCTGGGACAAGTGGGAGCTGATTCACGCGCCCTGTTTCTAGCATGCAACAACACTAAGTCCTTGCATGGAACATTCCCTCCTAAGACTTACCTTACCTCTTGTAAGTCTCCATGTGCAAGAAGATAGGAACCTGGGGACAAGGTTTTCAAACAAGTAGTTTCCCTATGGACGTTCAGAGATCTGTACAGTCTCGTGAATGGACTGTGGCACAATAGTGCATGCATAGCTGCATGTGGTAGAATCGCTCGTGTACTGCCTCCTGAGCTGCTGGCTTGTTTTGATTAAATCTTCATCAGGTTAGCACAGAGTTACCATTCCTTCTCTTTGCTTGGATAAGACTTGAGAATTGCTAGGCCCAGAGGTGGGCAGGAAGTGGATTGCATCCCATTTTTATCCATCGCTGGCTGACTTCGAGTAGACCAACGGAAGTGTGTTTCCTCCTGTCATGTGGAGAGAAAAATACACACACCTGTTAATTCATTGCTCTAGTCTCGCAGCTCCTGCTAGCCTGCCCCTCACCTCTGCCAACATCCCTCACTGAGGTAAACGGGTACCTCTAGAAAATGGAGGAGCTGCTTGCCAGCACGACTCCTTTCTGCTTCATAAGTTCCACCTATAAAGGGCAGAGCTGTGGAAAGATCCAGGTATTGTGTCGGCTGCTACATTCCTCTATTCCTCACTCCTGGTTGTAGTGTGAGGTAAAGTAAAAGGGAAGATATTAGTCTTGAAATCATAGAGGTCAACTGACTGAAATTCCCAGGTGTCAAAAAGGGTTATTTATGTATGCCACTACTGCAGCCCATGTTTTGTTAGGCCCAAAAATGGAAAACAAGCGAGGTCCCAAACAAAGAAGAGTGGCAACTTCAGTTGACAGAATATGTGAAGCTTGCAGACTTAACATATAGAATAAGAGAACATAGATGAACATATGTTTAGAGAAGATTGGAAAATGCTTATTGAGTATATGGGAAATAACTGTGTGCCGCTGAAAACGCTGGCAGCATTAAGATAAATTCAACAGTGCAAATAAGTTACGGTGGATGCAATAATGGAATACTGAATGGTATAGTTTCTGTAAAATATGCAGGGATTTATGATATGTAAAATGAACCGTGGAAAGAGAAGATGGGAAGTCACTGATATTTTAAGGATGTAAAAATGAGTAGTTTAAATTGTAAAACAGAAAATTTAATAAAAATTTATGTACAAAAAAGAAAGAAAGAAATCATAGAGGTCAACCCAACGGACTGTGGCTGACGTTCTGCCACCTCTGCACCAGGCCAGCAACATTTTTTTTTGTTGAATAGATTGTCTCTGCTTCAAAGAACAGGATTGGCATTATTGAAACTAGCATTATTAAATTGGCGTCTCTTCTTTCCCGTCTTCCTCCTCTGTCCCCTACCCACAACTCGAGTCGGTTGCTTGTGTAGGAATGTAACGGGGATTGTTTCCTAGCCGCAGGCTCAGAACGGAGTTCGTTTCAACAGACTGCCCTCCTGATCTTAACTCCTCTCTACCTGCAGGAACCAAGCTGTGCTCTTTGGTGGGAACCCACGCTATGAAAACGTCCCACTGATTGGAAGAGGATCGCCTCCCCCCACGGTACGGTGGGCGTCGGAGGCCAAATCATTTTTATAACAGACCCTCTTTTTTATTATCATTTCCTCTGCTTTTACTAACCTCTCTATATTAAAATGCATTTTTGAAAAATAATTTTTTTAAATAAAAAAAAACCCGGGACGAGAAAGCCTCCTGCTTTTTGTCAAACGCCAAAATAGTTTTGTTTCTGATGCTAGAGATGAGGAAAAGAAGCCCAGGGGGGAAACCTCCCTGAATGCACACCTTTCAGGGGAAAAAGACGGTCCTTAACCCAGAGATTCATATCTGCTGGAAGGTGAAAACTGCTGCAAGAAGTCCTGCTTTTTTGAGTCCGGCATTTCTTGTTCCCACAGCCGTTTTAGCGCTCTCACCTTTTGGCAAACCAGGCTGCAGTCCATTGAGACTGCATCCTTGCAGGCTAAGCTATGGGCAGCTTTGTAGCAATAGGGCAGAGAACAACTCTGTGTTATAGTACTGGTACTTCGCAGCCCATGGTGTGAGGTTATATCCTGCAAATGTTTGCCGGTTTTGCCAATAGATGTCGATGACTTTGCATTACCTTTTCTATGTGTTGTATATATTAGCATGTGACACAGTGCCATAAAAAAAATAATCCCTGTGTGCATTTAAAATTGTGTTCAACTGCTCAAGTTCTAACCATCTAGAACAGTCATCCCCAACCTGCGGCCCTCCAGATGTTTTGACCTACAACTCCCATGATGCCTAGCTAACAGGACCGGTGGTCAGGGATGATGGGAATTATAGTCCAAAATATCTGGAGGGCCAAAGGTTGGGGATGCCTGATCTAGAAGATGAGTATATACTCTTTGCTTGCTTTTTTCCTCCTTTTTTGTTTTTTA